CTAGAGAAGTGCCATGACTATCACTCAGCATAATTAATTAACTCGCAGCCTCAGAGACACAAATTCCTATATTTTAAATTAATGTAACACACACACACACACACATCACTCCACACGAGCCATCCTAACCTAACCTAACCTCTCACTTAACCTAACTATAAGATTAGGTTATTTTAGGTTGTCTGTTTGTTATTTCAGCAAAAAGTCCCGGCATGCATGCAGGAATTTTGAAAATAACCGATTTCGCAAAAAACGTAGAACTCTGTTTCTACAATACATAAATATGTCGTGGCAGAAAAGTCCACGACCCAAAACCCACAAAACGTTATGAAAAATTAAAAAATCCCTCAAATACGTTAAAGATAATCCAGTCATGTGACCTAAAATGACCTAAAGAAATATATCAAGAAGCCAACGAAATTTCATTTGCTAATAAGGATACTTCCGGTAATCCTGCTGACAGTTATGGCTGAGACGGAAAGGAAAGGATTGGAAGACATGAAGGACCCACAGTACAGTAGCCTTGAGAGAAACCAACAGTAGCAGTCTGGAGGACCAGCAGATGGGAAAACTTGTTACAGTATGATAAGCCATGAGTCGTAAGGAGGCACAGCTCAAGAGTTTTAAACACCGCCAGGGCCAGTCCTGTGAACCACTGATAAACTCTTCTCACAAAACAATACTGGCGCCTCGGCACTCCAGGTCAACACGTTCTCCTGTTTGTACGATACTTTTTCCTTAGGTCGAGATCTGGTAATGTAATTAAGAGCCTCACCCAAATTGTTACATGAACGTGACGACCAAATTATATACCACCGAAACAGTGATGGTTACGTCTCAGGCCAAGTAGTGCCCGGCAGTGACATATCATATCCCATTAATAATAATAATTGTATAATAATAATAATAATAATTATAATAATAGTAATAATAATAATAATAATAATAATAATAATATAATAATAATAATAATATAATAATAATAATAATAATAATAATAATAATAATAATATTTAACAACTATTTCGCAATATTTAATCAAATTCCACAAATTATTCAGCTTCACCCGTGAGATATATGGAGACTCCTCGCCCACAGCACAGGTAACTCGCCCAAAAACTATCTTATACGATTTTGTGAGACAATATGACAACGACGAAGGGTTTTGACAACCTTACCGAGACAACAGGAGTCACAGTGTTCATTTTGACATTCATCGGACCCTCCGTCAATATACTTTATACAGCACATCACAGACTTCAGTATATACTGTACCAGCCAAACGACTTAGCCAAAACGTGACGATAGAAACAGGTGCACCGGAGAGCAGACCATAGGCGGAGGGGAGGGGACTGAGGAGGTGAGAAGGCAGGAAGAAGGAAGGGGAGGATGACGAGAGGGAGAGATGAAGGAAGGAAGGACGGGAGGAAGAGAAATGTAGACGGGAGAGAAGGAGGTGAAGAGTGTGTGTGGGTTGGGCAATGAAGGAGGAGGGATAGGACTACCGTCGTCTCCCCTTATCCAGGCCTCCACACACTCCCTTACCCCTGGCCCTTCCATATCCCCCTTATCCTGGCCACTCTCCTCAAGTCTGCTCCAAACCCCCTTACCCGGCCCTCACACACCCCTTACCCTGGCCCCCACATCCTCTCTGACCTTGACCCCCATACATATTACCTCTACCCTGTCCTCCCCCACCCACCTCACTCTTCTCCCTCCCCACTCAGTCCCACTTACCCCTGCCCCCACCAGGCAGTGACTCAAGACATTCTTGGTAAAGTAAATCACGTTTATTTAGAACAGCCACGGACCACAACACGCCTCACACCCAGTGGGAGGAGACATTCCTCACTCACCTGATGAGGACGAGAAATGAAAGAAAGAGAGAGATAAGGAGAGACGAGGAGAATAAAGAGGAAGCGGAGGAAGAGGAGGAAGAGGAGGAGGAAGAGGAGGTTGCGAGGACTGGCAATGTTACGCATAAGAGGAGAGCCGCACGAGTCACAGTAAGTGATCTTGTGTGTACGGGCTCTCCTCCTTCCCTACCTCCCCTTTTCTTAACTTTTTTCTCTTCCTCCCTTCTTATCTCCCTCTGCTTCATCTATTGTTGACCCTTCTGTTTCACTATCTCCTCCACCCTTTTTATCCTTCACTCCACTGTCTAAATTATCCATTCAAGCACTTCTGACTAGAACTACCTGCACCACTACGCCACTCAACACACCACTACACCACCACAACACACCACTACACCATCACAACACACCACTACACCACCACAACACCACCACAACACACACCACGACACCACCACAACACACCACCACACCACCACAACACACCACTACACCATCACAACACACCACTCACACCATCACAACACACCACTACACCACCACAACACACCACTACACCACCACAACACACCACTATACCACCACAACACACCACTACACCACCACAACACACCACTACACCACCACACCACAACACACCACCACAACACATCACAAACACACCACCACACCACCACAACACACCAATACCCACCACAACACACCACCACACCATCACAACACACCACCACACCACCACACCACGACACCATCACAACACACCACTACACCATCACAACACACCACTACACCACCACAACACACCAACATACCACCACAACACACCACCACACCATCACAACACACCACTACACCACCACAACACACCACGACACCACCACAACACACCACTACACCACTGCAACACACCACCACACCATCACAACACACCACACCACTACAACACACCCACTACACCACTACACCATCCCAACACACCACTACACACTGCAACACAACCATCACAACACACCACTACACCATTACAACACACCACTACACCACCACAACACACCAATATACCATCACAACACACCACGACACCACCACAACACACCACCTACACCACATCACAACACACCACTACACCCCTGCAACACACCACTACACCACCACAACACACCACTACACCATCACAACACACCACCACACCACCACAACACACCACTACACCACCACAACACACCAATATACCACCACAACACACCACTCACACCACTACACCATCACAACACACCACGACACCACCACAACACACCACTACACCACCACACCATCACAACACACCACTACACCCCTGCACACACCACCACACCACCACAACACACCACTACACCATCACAACACACCACTACACCATTACAACACACCACCACACCCACACCAATATACCACCACAACACACCACTACACCATCACAACACACCACTACACCACCACAACACACCACGACACCACCACAACACACCACCACACCACTACACCATCACACACCACTACACCCCCGCAACACACCACCACACCCACCACAACACACCACTACACCATCACAACACACCACTACACCACCACAACACACCACTACACCACCACACACACACCAATATACCACCACAACACACCACTACACCACCACAACACACCACCATACCACCACAACACACCACTACATCATCACAACACACCACTATACCATCACAACACACCACTACACCACCACAACACACCAATATACCACCACAACACACCACTACACCATCACAACACACACCACCACACCCATCACAACACACCACTACACCACCACAACACACCAATATACCACCACAACACACCACTACACACATCACAACACACCACCACACCACCACAACACACCAATATACCACCACAACACACCACTCACATCATCACAACACACCACCACACCACCACAACACACCAATATACCACCACAACACACCACTACATCATCACAACACACCACTCACACCACCACAACACACCACTACACCATCACAACACACCACTACACCACCACAACACACCACTACACCACCACACACCACTACAACACACCAATACACCACAACACACCACTACACCACAACAACACACCAATACACCACCAACACACCACAACACCACCACAACACACCACCACACCACCACAACACATCACCACACCACCACAACACATCACTACACCACCACAACACACCACTACACCACCACAACACACCACTAC